TATGAATCGTTCTGAATGAATATGAATCGTTCTGAATGAATATGAATTGATCTGAATGAATATGAATCAGTATGAATAAGTATGAATCCATTTGAACCAGTAAGAGTCCATTTGATTCAGTCTGAATCAGTCTGAATCAGCATGTTTCAATCTGAATCAGTAGAAATCAGTCTGAATCAGTCTGAATCAGTATGAACATGTAAGTGAACGTAAGTAACTCCATTCATCCTCCAGAACCATAAAGAAATAATTTTGTTAAATCTTCATGCTGAATGTTAAAAAAAACCACAAATGTGAACCATTTATACCAGCCATGGACTTGCCTTTCTCTCCAACAGGCCCAATGCTGATGATCACAGAGTTCTGTAGCCATGGTGACCTGCTTAACTTCCTGCGGGCTCACGCTCAGGACTTCATGGTGTCCATGATGAGTGTGGACAAGGCAGAAGACCAGGTGTTTTATAGAAACATGGCAGCTCTGAACACCAGGCTGCGCAGGTCAGATGGGTTCTGTTTCAGTCACACTTTACTGTTCATCATCATCACCATCATTTTCAGTCAACAATATGTCTCCTTCTGTACACTTAGAATATTTCAGTCCTTTGGTCTTTCCTTTTGGCTCAGTTGTTCCCGTCCATTTCTCTTTTCAACCGTTTGATTGCTCCTGTCGGGCTTGGCTTCTGTTCAGTTAATTATTTTTGTTCATGTCTCCTTCTGTCTAATTCTTTACCAATCTTTAGTTTGGATTCACAAGTTTTGTCTCACTGACATGGTTGTGTGACAAAAATTCCATCTTTCTCTTCATGCAAACTTAAAACATACAAAGACAGTCCAATAAATGGTAGAGATGGTCAAAAACGCATGAAAGGAGATGGTAAAAGTTTTGACTGGAACATGTCTCATTCCACATCCCACTCTGCCTGTCAGAACTGGTGGTGGTTTCTTTGTCACAAATGTATAAAATAGTGCTTAAGCTCAGTTAACAAAAACACCAGCTCATCCTTCCTTCAACTTGTCCATCATCAACTGAAAGTAAACGTGAACTCTGCCAACCGTGCTGTCCGTGGACGTTCCGTGTGCATGTGATGCAGTGGAAGGGGCTTACCAGGACTTTTCTTCAGTGGTTTCTATTTGAGTATAAGTGGTCTGTGTAAAAAGATTGTCCCACAGGCATGCCAGCAACGATCAAAGTCTTTAATGGAAAGTAGAAACAGGCCTTGAATTTCTTCAGGTCTGACAGTCGAGTTTAGCCCTAGCTCAACCGCTTCCACTGATCCTGTCAACCTGGACTCGCTTCAGCCATATCTGAAGCAGTCTGGTAAAAATCGCGGGATGGTTTTAGACTCTGACTTCAAGTTTGACAAACAAATCAAATCTATTCTGCAGAAAAACTTCTTCCAATTAAGGCAGATAACTAAGCTTAAGCCAGTATTGTCCAGACCCGACCTTGAGAAACTAGTCCATGCCTTTATTACGACCCGACTGGACTACTGTAACGCACTCTATGCTGCGGTCAGTCAGACCTCCATTTCGTGTCTCCAGCTCTTCCAGAATGCTTCTGCTCGGCTCTTAACCAAAACAAGTAGGTTGGAGCATAGTACACCAGTTCTGTCCTCCACTGGCTCTTTGTGCGTACTAAAATAGATTTTAAAATACTCCTGTAAAATACCCCTTATTTCTCTGAGCTACTGGTGCCATATGTTCAATCTCGGGCCCTGGGATCATCTGATCAGCTGCTTTTGTCTGTTACAAAAAAACCTGAAGTTCAGAGGTGATGGGGCACTTTCTTTCATGGGCCTCAAACTCTGGAACAACCTGCCTCTGGAACAACCTGCCTCCAGATACACAAGCACAGACTTAGTACCAAGCACAAAACAGAGAAATAAAGAAAACCAGTCAGTTTAGACTAAACCAGTTTAGAGTTAAAGAGATCGGCCAGCACCTCGTAGAGCTGATCGGCACAGTCTCTCAGCACCCTCCCTGAGATGTTGTCTGGGCCGGTGGCTTTGTGAGGATTAGTCCTTCTGAAGGTCCTCCTATCGTCTGCTGAGATCACACTTTGGAACTCCTCTTCAGGTGGAAAGGTGAGTCTGGTGCTGGGTGGTCTATCTGGTTCTTCAAAGCATGCATAGATCCTGTTAAGAGCATCAGGTAGTGATAGGTCTCTAAGTCATTGTGCACCTCTGGTTTTATAGTCTGTGATGCACCTAATGCCCTTCCACATGCTTCATGGGTCCTGTGTGGAGAAATGGATATCAGAATTGTGCTATTTAGTTTTTAGTGAAACAAACAAAGAAACTTTGTACCAAAATCTTTGTGGTTGAAATGACCAGTTCATTTCAAACAAACCACCCTGTCTGAATACGGTCACACCAGTATCACCTGAATAAGCATCAGTTCAAGTAAGACATCTGTCAACTGATTTGTAACTTCCTGTTGTGTATATTGCAGTGACAGTGGGATCTCGTGCTGGTCAGAGTACCAGGAAATGCAGCCAGTTCTTAGTCTGGATCAAACAAGCTCAAGTAAGGCATTGAATTTACCTGAATGCAAATGGATTTAACTGCACTCCCATGTGAGCTCACCTGTGGTTTATGATCCTGTCGCACAGGTGAGCACATGGACAGTCTGTCTGTCTCTGACCTCATGAGATTTTCCTGCCAGGTGGCTCAGGGTCTGGATTTTCTGTCCATCAAAAATGTAAGGACAAACACACACACACACACACACACACACACACACACACACACACACAGAGAGAGAGAGAGAGAGAGAGAGAGAGAGAGAGAGAGAGAGAGAGAGAGAGA